TATGTATCACTTGTAGTGGTCTCTGTGCTCTATTTCTGTTTTCTTTAAACGGCAATTTTGCCATCTTTGCCATTATACAGACTTCACACTCTAATATGGAGTTATCAAACTTAACTGTCTCTAATCTCTTTTCTACTTTTTGTAGCTGTCTTAAATAGTTTAACGACGCATGACCTAATCTAACATGCCATAACATCGCCTCATTTATTTTCTCTAATTTCTTTACTTTTTCAATTACTGAGCTTTCACACATTTCTTCTATATTCTCTAATGTTTGTATATCTTCTAACTTAATAACTTGATCGAGTTCAGCATTATTGTGTTCTATATTTTCGTTCACATTTGTGAGTTCTCCTTCATTCTTCCTCCCAATCGCAGAGCCAACATTGTCTTTTTCGTCTAATTCTCCCTCCGAAATCGATAATTCACTGGTCTGAATGTTTGCTTGCGATTGTTCAGGAAACTCACAATGTGGAACAATTTCTGCTCTACATCTATACACAGCACATTCTATACTTTCATTGTCCTCTATATTATTGTTTTTAACCTCAAATTGCATAATCCAATTTGGTTTCTCATAAATTCCTTCGAAAACAATTTTATTTGTTAGTTTATTGTGAACTTTAAATACTTTATCATCTAAATAAATACTGAACCCTGCATCAGCCAGCTTTCTTAAGATAGTAAATTTTCGGATACTTCCTTCGTTGCAATTACATTTGTTAATTTAATTACTTTCTTTTCTTTCTCATTTGTTAACAACAAAAGATCTCCTTTACCATCTATTGAAATGTCTGCAAGCTCATTCTTATTCGCGCATTTAATAACTCTATTATTACATTTTTCAAAGTTTGATAAAATTATATTCTTATTCACAATGTGATCTGTTGCACTCAAATCTACAATAAAATTGACTAATTCTTTTGAACTATCTCTATCTTCTATTACTTTAGCCATGCATAATTTACCTTCTTTTGGTTTTCCTTCAATTGCTGTTTGCGATGGTATAGTTTTCTTGGCTGGTTGTATTTTGGTTACTTTCCCTTTATTATCTACTCTTTTTGTTCCTCTTTGCGCAAATCTACTCTTTTTCTTTATATTTTTATTAACGGTTTTATTTGTATACCTTTTTCCTCTAAATCTGTTCGTCTGGGCTCCGGCATTAGGACAGCTATCACCCTTGTGTCCTCTAATCTCCTGGCAGTAATAACAGAACCAGGCCTCTGATCCCGCTAGTGGGCAGTCCTTCGCCATGTGACCCAATTTGTTGCATCGGTAGCACTTTATTTCTTTGTGCTCTTCTGCGGTAGCCCTCTGCACTCTAACTTCTGGTTTCTCTAGCTTCTCTCTAACTTCACTCTTAGTCTCTGCCTCTAACTGCATCATGAAAGATTTTATTTCATCTACATTCATTTCTTTAAGATTAGTTTGTCTTCTAATTAAATCTACATTCCTCAGTTTCGGCACATTAATTGACACAGCTTGATACAATGCAGATCTCATTTCTTGTTCTGTGAGAGGTACCGCATCTTCGCATGATTCATATTCTCTAATTATTGAATTAAAGCGTTCGCAAAAATCACTTACTTTTTCGTCTTTTCTCATTTTAATTTGATAGAGTTTAGTTCGTACCGATGCATGAGTAACGTTTACTTCACTCTTTTTATAACCTCTTAATTTCTTCAAAATTTCTTTTGGATCTTTCTCATGTAAAATCTTTTTATGATAATTTTCATCTAAATGATTGATTATTATATCTCTAACTAGACTTTTTCTCTTAGCAACTTTTAATTCGGAAAGATTTTCTGGACTATCAATGTTTGAATCTATTACATCTAATAACTCGTTATTCATTAATTCGGATTTTAAATAATCCATCCAAAGATCAAAGTTGGATTTTTGCGTTAGCTTATATTCTCTTCTAATATGCAACCTTGACTGTTTAATTCTACCTTTAAAGCACTCTTAATTGTCTCTAAACTTCTATTTTTCTCGACTGAACAGACTGTTTCATCTAACTTTTTCTTTTTAGGCTCTACTTCTGATTCTTTAACCGTTTGTATATTGTTTTCTACTTTACTTTGCGTATTCTGTTTATTTACCTCTAAACGTCTAATCTTTAGTTTCTCTTTCTCTAAATTTACGTGGGCGACTTCTACCATATTTTCCATCATGGAAGTTGCTTGGGTCATAACCTTATCCAACATCTTTAATACCGAGTCCATTTTCTCAACCATCTTTTCTTGTTTCTCGTAAAGCATCTTTGTCCCTATAGGTAGTACAGGACGATTTTCAGCCCATTCTCTATTTACATCTATGTTTTCTATTATCTTTGGTTTGCCGCGTTTCGGGATTGCACCCTTTGCTTCAGTCTCCTTCTTGTTCTCTTTTTCTTCTAAACAAAGTTTTTAAATTACTCTATCTCTGAATACACAAGTATATTATCCTTCTTGATTGTTTTATTTAAAAAAAATACTCTCTTACCTTCATCTTTACTCATCGTTTTATTGCTACCTCTTTCTTTCTCTACCACTGTGACCACGCTGCTGTCACTATCGTAGTCAACCAGTGAATCTTGGTTTTCTTCCTCATTCATCGGAAGATTTTTCGTTTTTTCTTCTTCCATCTAAATCGGGATTCAAATATCAATTGAACATTAGCATTCCTCTTTTGACAAGATAAACCAACATTCATATTGACCGATAATAATTTACAATTTCTATCACTAGATCTCTTTCAGCGATAAAAATTTAATGCTTATGAGGCTATATAGAACGCACTACAATTCACAATAACCCCAAAGCGAGAAAACCACGCGCCTCTGCAGGGCTATCCGCACGCGCACACCACTGTCCGTTGCGATCTCCAGCACTGCTGAAAAGATCTATGGGAGCTCGGGTTGATCACGCACGCGCACGGGGCCCATACAAATTTACGCGCCCTCCCTGTACAGTAATCAAGCTACACCGCACAGCTAGTCATGCTCAATTACCGACCCGATACATGTCGATTTTGAAAATTTATTCCATACACATGCCTGTATATATATATATATATATGTGTTATGGCGTCGCATCGATGCTATGTTTTTCCAATCGATCATGCGTCAGCGCGTGCCCGGCAACGCATCCCTCGCGCCAAAATAATGACTCACTTTTCACGATCGGACTTTCGCGCGCCAAAAAAAAATGACTCTCGCCGTTCACGATCGGACTTGCACAGGCACATCGCTTTTCCCGCCAGCTTGTTACCAAGCGGCATATATCTATCTCTTTCTATCTCACACATCTATCTCTTTCTATCTCACACATCTATCTCTTTATACATCTATCTCTAATTCTCTTATTGTCACTGTTGCCTCTATTTCTATCTCTCAAGAAGAAGGCAAAAACATCTATCTCCTTCTAACAGCATTTATCGAACGAACGTTCTTATTTGCTGAGAATTCTCTCGTTTTGCTCGTCAGCAACGAGGAATATTATTTACTTACCCTCTAATCTTCTAGATTCTTCTAAATGCTTTTCGTCTTCTCGATGCTCTTCGCCGGCGTCTCACACACTTCGCGTTACACGTTCGACTTTAGATGTTTTCGTGCTTCGTTCTTCACGCAGGGGAATCGTGCCCTGGACCCATAACCTGTAGGCTATTCGATAACGGCGACTGTATGCGTGGCGAGGTGGACAGGAAAACACAAGTATTTCTATAATGCTCTATATAATATATTTGCTCTTTGTACACGTCTGAATTAGGAATGTTTGGTGTAAAACTCGGGGCAGATGGCGCCATGGCGTCTAGTCCTGTCATGGCGGAGTCACCAACACTAACTCAATATACATGCATGTGTTGGTGTATGCGTGAGCCTATCTGTGATACTTCGCGGCTACTTCGATTCAACAAAAATGTCGAAAGAAGATTATTACGGTAAATTAAGTATTAAAAAATTGAAGGAGCTGCTGCGAGAAAGAGGTGCAATATTATATGGAAAGAAAAAAGAGTTAGTGGACAGGTTAGTATATAATTGTATATATGGGCAGATTACAAAATGTGTGCTTTAATCATTTAACAGTAAGTTGTATTTAGATTAATTTTTAGATTAATATATTTTTATAACTTTTTAGATTAATATATTATGATAAAAATAATAATTTTGGTTATGAGCCAATCCTGAAAACGGAAGATTGTATAGAGACTCCACCAGCTTCAAGTTACAAAGATATCAATGCATCTAGTCCTGTACCTGCTTTTACCATGAATCATCTACATGCCTTTTTGCAAAGGTTTACACAAGTTTTTATGCAATATATAATATATAATATATAATAAATTTCAATATAAAATAGAATAATATTCAAGATGTTATATTAATATTTATATTTTGCAGGTTTCAAAAAAATATGGGTTCAGCTGTAGGTTTATATAATAATGGATATTTAACGTACATCCGATATTGTGTTCCTGGTAATTATTTATCACAATATTATCAATTTTTAATTTTACTCAAATTTTCATTTTAAAAAGCTTGAAGTGACATAATAACATTAGTAAACAATTATATTATTACAGATAATATATATTTTGTAAAAGGGCAATGCAGGGCTGAAATGCGAAAGCATGTACAATATGAAGTTAATGCCAGTATTAGTTTTGATGGAGAAATTCAAGAAACCAGCTGTGAATGTACAGTCGGGCATTCAAAAACCGCCCACTGTAAGCATGTGACAGTATTATTACTGGCTATGAATGATGTATGCTTGAACAGGACAGTAATCTTAGAACAGACATCAACAGAAAAATTTGCAAACTTTTCACCAGCCAACAAAGAAATACACTGGATCACCGATGAAAGTAAAGCTTTTTCAACGAAGAACACTAATCCCAGAGTATAATTTAGATAATAAAGCTATGCAATATGGTACAAAAACTATTACAGAAATTTATTTATTGCTCGTGGATATAAAAACTCGATGTCAATTAAAATGATCTTAGAACCTGCGAATCCATATGCAATAGAGTGGGATCATTGCTATTCAACGTACAATGCCAAAAATTCCTTGCTTAAATCTCTTTATCTACTAGATGTTTCTGAAGAACAAGTACAAGAAATAGAACAAGAAACTCGTGGCCAAAGTAATAATAAAGCATGGCATGAATATAGGTGTCATAGAATAACAGCGAGTAATTTTTATGCTTGTTGCAATGAAAAATTAAGTAAAAAAGGCGGTGAGACTTTAGCTCAATCAATTTTAAATCCAAGGTCTTTCACATCAAAAGCAACATCCCATGGGAAAATATATGAAGATATTGCAGTAAATTTATTTAATGAATCTCGTGTCAATGAGCTAAATATACAGGAGTGTGGACTATTTATTTTACCTTCTCATCCATATATTGGAGGTAGCCCAGATCGCCTACTTGCCCTATTGTCGGTGATAGAAGTGAAATATCCATATGCCAGTAGGAATCTTCCAATAAATGAAATAACTGTACCGTACTTAGAGAGAGATGAAAATAATTGTTTAACATTACGGAAAAATCATTCGTACTACTATCAAATTCAAGGACAATTGCTGGTTACTGGAAGATTATATTGTGATTTATTGATATATACCTTTAAGGAGTTAGTGCAAATATCAATTGAGAAGGACGATAAGTTTATATCGGAAATGCTTTTCAAGTTAACTAATTTTTATGAAACATACCTTAAGCCTGCAATATTTGAAAAATATATTTATAGAAATTATGACAAGTTATTTTAATAAGTATAAGTATTACATCTTTATATCTTGTGCTTGTGATAAACTCGTTCTGCGATTATAAATTTTAAGGTAAATTCTAAGATATAAATGAAAGTAATATATATTGAAAAGTTGAAATGTGATAAAACTTGTTCTATTGTTGAAAACTTTAAGATAAGATTTTTGAATAAAACGTAAATACTAAAATAAGTAAAGAAAAGTTAAAATGCAATAAAACTCATTTTGTGGCATAACTTTATAAAATAATGTAAAATGCCAGTATTTTTAAGAAGAAATAAATCGATGAGAAGATTATATAATTTATAAAATAGTTTAAGTTTGTATTAAGTACATTATATAAAAATCAAAACTGTTCTATTTAAAAATAAACAAAATTTTATTACTAGTACATATATCTTGTATTTATTTTTACACCTTTCGCATAATATTTTCTTTAAAATTACACAACATAACACATACTCCAACTAATTCTGTAGCCAATGGAATGTAGTTGTGATTCAGTCTACTTGAAAGAATTTTGTACGTCTTGAGTAATCCAATACTTCTTTCAATGTGGACTCGATGTTTTGATAATGGACGGTCTTTCATAACTGTTTGGTGAGGTAGATATCCTTTACCTTTTGTAAAAGTAGGTGTAGCAACACACACAGAAAAATATCGTTCTATAGCCAAGAAAAGCAATTACTCATTTTATTTTATTTGGTTTGAGTAACAGTTTTCTTTAACAAAGAATATTTTCTTAATATTAGTTTCTTAATATACTCATCATAAGTATTAGAAAAGCTTATCATCATGTGCTTAAAAAAAGAATTTATTCTTCTTTCAAGTATATTCCGAAACTTTATCTAAGAAAAGCAACATAAGCTTGATTTGAATATTACTGATTTTTTAGGTAAGAATATGAAATACTTGGCTGTAGAACGACATTCTTCTAGGTTAGGAGGTTTTCGTGCGCGGT